TTGCTATTATTATTATTATTATTATTATTATTATTATTATTATTATTATTATTATTATTATTATTATTATTATTATTGCAGTCGTTATTATATGAATAATTAATATAATCATTTGATGATTTACTGCTGTGACGATAATTGGTAGACGGTAATGTTAAAGATGAGGATTTTGTGTGCGCTGTTGATGGGAAAAGCATCGAGGCACTTTTTTTATTGATATCTTGAGCACTTGAGTATGGTTTTAACGTGTGACGCTCTAATTCATCATTATTAATGGACGCGTCCTTTGTATGACCATCACCAAAATTTTGTTTTTGAGTATCTCCTGGTAGAATGGTTTTATATTCAGCTGAAGTCACGGCAGTCATATCTGATTCTTGTCGTTCATGTGTTGATGATATTACTGAGGAAGGTTGAGTTTTTAAATATATGGAGTTGTTGGCGGAGCTAATATCAATAGAACTTTGTAGATTCTTCATATTATCTGGTGAGTATTTGTAATAACTTTTTCTAGACATTTTTGAAAAATCATAAATAAGAAACTTTTCTTCCATCATTCGAACTTCCTTGGAAAGTTCACTAAGATCTTGGTTAGGATTGGCACGTTTCCTCGCTTTCAACGGATTGTCCTCCAATAATAATTCTTCTAATTCATGTGTTGCGTCAAAATTTGCGCGTTTAGACTAAAATAATGAAATGGTGATATTATTAATATTATCAATATTAACATTACTATTATTAATATTGATATTAATATTCTTGCTCGACTTACATCAGGTATAAATGGAGGGGTTGCTTGTTTTGTAACAAGATTATCCCATTCTATATTACTAAACCAAGGATGCTGTTTAATTTCATCAATACCATTACATCCTAAACGTTTAGTTATATCCCTTTCACAAAACTAAAGATTTATATGTATATATATTAGTAACAAATAAATTTATAAATATTTTATTTTTTATAATAATTACAAGAATAAACATACCCTTTTTAGAACATCTATACAATCTTCAGAAACCAATTCATTAACATTTTCAGGAAAATGAATAGGCTCGTTAAGAATTGCACGAGTTAAAGCTGTATTTGTTTTTCCACGAAATGGTCGCTAGCAATATTAATGTACGATTGATAGAATGATCGATTGATCAATTGATTAATTAAACTGAACAATTTTAAAATAAATTTCAGTTTTCATTTAAATTGAAAAATTTAGTTGTTAAAAATACCTTGCTAAACAATAACTCATACATCACAACACCTAGTGACCACCAATCAACAGAATTAAGATATCCTTTCTTTTTTAATATTTCTGGAGCTTTAAATTTTTTTTTGTAAGAAGTAATTAATTAATATTAATTTTATAATTTATAATAATTCCTAAATAATTAAAAAAAATCCCCATTAATTAATTACCCATATATGCCATAGAACCAGCCACTGATGTAAGAGGTCTTTTTTCATTATAGTGAACTGCAATATTGAAATCTGTTAAATGCGCGTGACCATTTTCATCCAATAACACATTATCTGGTTTTAAATCTCTATATTATATATATATATATATATAATAATTAGAAATATTATTAAAAAAAGAAGGAATAATAATCAATTCAATTCCTTAGAATAATCAATTACCTATGAACAATTTTCTTTGAGTGCAAATAATCTAATCCTAAACTAATTTCAGCAACATAGAATTTCACCACCTCTTCTCCCAAATGCCCTTGTCTCTCCAGATGAAATCTTAAATCACCGCCCAACATCAAGTCAAGCACCATGAACATATTCTCGTCGTCTTGAAAAGCATAACGCAGATTGCATATCAACGATAATTCGATCTCTTCCAACAGACGACGTTCTTGTATAATATTCTCTATTGCTCGCATTTTTATACATTTTTCTTTGTTGATGTATTTGAGCGCGTACAAAACCTTGGAACGTTTGTGTTGAACAACTCGGACCTTAATTAATTAGATGAAATGATGATGTTAACGTGATGGTTTATAACGTTTCAGTATAAACGTTTTATTGTTTTTTTTTTTTATAGTGATCAATTTAATTAAATACCTTGCCGAATGCCCCTTTTCCAACTGATCTTAATAAATGAAAATGTGATAATTCGACTATAAATAAATAAAAAAAGATGTTAATGTATATGAGTTTTAATGTTTATAAATATATATTTATATATTATTTCTTTTAGGCACACGAGAAAATAATTTACCCTCGGCATTAAAATCAATTTCTTCTTCCTTACAACAACCTGCACCCATCGGAATTTAGTTTGGTAAAAAAGGTAATATTATATAATTATATAAATACAGACAAATATAAATATAAATAAATATAAATATATATATTTATAATTTTTTATATTAGAAAGAAGTAAAGAAATAGTCAAGTGCAGTGTTTAAGGGATGAGTGTAAGAAAAAAACTTATAATAATTCTGTATGGTAAAAATACATAAATAAAGGGTTTTTCTTAAAAAAGGAAAAAGAAAGATAATGATGATATTAATACAGAAACAAACGGCCTGCCGAATTTTTTTTTGGTTTTAAGTTTTATTCTATTAGTTGAAAAAGAGGGAGGAAGGAAACGAGAAATAAAAAAAAAAAAAAATATAATAATAAAAATAAAAACAACAAATATGTATATATATTAAAAAATAAAATAACGAAAAAAAAATCAATTCAAACAAGCTAAATATAGTAACACATACACAATATTTTACGATTATTATTTAAATACAATAACAATGAATAATATAACTATACAAAGGGACGTTTGTCTTCTCTTTGATCTGATGATTGAATTGATTTTTTTGTATTTGTTTCCTAAATATTATTATCTGTTCTTCCTTTAAAGTAAATAAATAATTTTGATTTCTAAATTGGTAATTTAAAGTATATGTCTTTTTAAATACGGAACTCTAGTCGTCTATTATTGAAATTAGTGTAACGCGAATTAGTTTTCAATGAGCGAAAATCTTTGCATTTATTGCTATTTTAGTGTATTAGTTGTATATTTATAGATGGTTATAAAAAAATCATTAAAACTAAACTTTACGAAACTTATTACTATTACCATTACTATTAGGAGATGTTATATAGCAGTTGATAATAATAATGTGAAATGATTTTTTGAAACTTTAAAATATTACTTCCAAAAACGTTCTATATATGTAAAAAGTTGCATACATTTAGGGTTTAGGGGTGACATTAACTCAAATTTGCTTTTCAACATTTCTAGGCCTCGTACAATACTAATGTTAATATGTGTTAGTATAGTTGGACAAGGGCCCTTTTTTTTTAAATGATAATTTAATACATAAAATGCCAAAATAGTAATAGTGATATTTATGTATTGCTCATTGCATTATTATCATCTTGTCATGTGAACCTATGCGAAAACAGTACTTGTCCATGATTCCATTTCATAATATCCGGGCATCCATAGACTTTTACCTAGTATGGTATTCCACAATTTTATTTGGTCTATTTGTTGAATTATCTTCAGGGCTAGTATGATGTTTAATCACATTGTGACTTCGAAAAAACACAACTAAAAATTTTAACATGGTTCCAAAGACGGGAAGAGAGTCGTGCTCATTTTCCCCCCAGATATTATTATTATTTACAATGGCGAGATACGAAAATACCCAAATTGACATGTCAAACGTTAATTTAAGCCTGTTATGTAACAAAGTAATAATAATAATAATAATAATCATTTTGCATTTTTGATTTAAAACTGTTTCACCTATGAGATGTAAGTAAATATTTATTTGTAAATTTCCTTGTGTCAAAATATTCTATGCCCACGCATATCATTGTAGATACAATCAAGAACAACATCGTCAATTACAAACAATCTATTCGTTACTCGACATCGTGGCATATTGGTACTCTTATATTGTGACCTTTCACCTTTTGCTAACCTTATTCATTGATATTAATAATAAAACAAAGACCTCAAAAATATAATAACAATTAAAAAATTTTAATTCGAACTTGCTTTTCCCCTTTGCGATACTTAGCTTCTCGTGGATGAAGCCTATTTACACTTTGATCCTTTGGGCAAAAAGTTAAGTACATATATCATTTTAAAATCAATTAAAAAAAATTGGAAATTACAGTCAATTTTGTTTATCTTCGCTTTGATCAACAAAGCTCATTATTTAAATAATTGCATGATTAAAAAGGATACTGTGCAATCATTGTATATCTTTACACAAAGAGCAAAAGAACCTATCATCCATCACCATCCTATCTAATCAATTAATTAATAAAGAAAAAAATAATAAATCAATTTACCCATAAAAACCTTATTATACTTCTATTGTTCATGCTAATAATTTTTAAATAATAATAATATTATTATTTTCCTTAATTTAAAATTTACAAAATATTAAATATTAATCCGAGTGATAATAAATTAGCTTGTTCATATAAAATAAATCTCTAACAGATCTTGCACTAAAGATTTAAGCCCAATTTATATTAATATGTCATCACCATATACAATTACTATTAACCATTACTATCATAACTCGGTATATGATATGTGTGACAAACTGTCGTGTTGCTACAAAAAAAAAAGCTTTATTTTATTTCCTTTTGCCCTTTCGTCTTGAAAGGCCTTTATTTCCTTCCTTTATGAGAAGGAATATGGAATTTTGTTCATTAAACAGGTTGGATATTTATTAATAGTCCATGTTGTTATGATGTATGTATTTTGTTGGGGTGTGCGACATTCTAAGAAAGTCAAATATTAATAATGTCTTGTATTGATTGGTTGTATGTGATTTGCATACTACAGAATTTCCGAAATTACATGAATGTTTTTTTTATTTTCAAACCACTACTTCTCTTCCGTTTTCAAAGATTATAGATGACCAAATTTTCATGAAAGATACAAATTTTTTCTTTATTGTGTGATACTTCTTCTATCTATTGGAACTTCCGAAAAAATTATATGAAATAAACATTGCACTGTTCTACAAATACTAAAAACTAGATTTTCACGAATGGAAGATTCTAATAAAAACCGTTCCATACAAGTTTTTCGTTACACCATAAAACATCCGCATATTATTATTATTATTATTTATTAAGATTAAGATTAATATTAATACTAATTAGATTTACCCCGATATTTTATATGCCTTTTCTGGAGCTGTTGATATATAAGTATTAAATTCCATACATTCAATCTTGGTATTTCACATATAAGAAAAGAAAAATCCTAGGAAAGTAATCTTGTGTATGATCGTGTAATTACTAAAAAATATCTAATAAAACCTTTGTGAATCTCAGATGGGAAGACTTACGTTTGTATCAATTGGAAAAGTCGATAGTTTTTTTTTCAATTAGTAAAAAATTAATGGCAGACTTTTTCTCGTATCTTGAAATGTTTCTTACTCTACTACTAATTCATCACTTCTCCTACTGGTATACAACAATGATGTTATATTATTACTGTCACATAACCTAAGCCAATCACCGTAAGTAAATAAACCTTAAATCCAAGTTATATTATCAATGATCAATTTTGGTTAAATGCAACAATTAGAGTGACAATTTTGTTATTAATATTTTAGTACATTATTTTCGAAAATGTAAAATTATTATATTATTAGCTTAAAATGTCAATTTTGACCAAATTTTGACGTTTTATACCGTACATATTTTTATTGATGCGAAACTTAATTATCGATTAAGACAAGAAATCATTGCACTTTGCCTTATTATATTTAGTTTTTTAAACTAATATCACTGCCAAGAGAATTAACTAGTTTTATTTGTTCACTAGAATTTTCTTGTAATAAAAATGCACGTTCAATTCCAAGCTTTTTGAGCACTTGTTAATATTTGCCCAAAATTATCTTCTTCAAATCGTTGGTATCTACTTCTGATTGCTGTTTATACATTATCACAAGAGCTCTAACAATTTTATCATCATCAGAGACTTCATATACAGTTTCTTCTTCTGGATTATTTAAATATTCTTTTAATGAATATTGCATCGTTTAGATTGAGAGCAGCAACTTTGTGAGAAGATTGCTTCGTTATTGGATCATTAATATCATCAAAGTGAGGTTGCTTTCCGAAACCAGGGAGCTTTGGCAGAATGGCGTATGTGAATCTGCAGATATGGTTTTGGCAGATCGTTCTGAAATGCCGAAACTATATAAGATTTTAATATAGTTTCACCATAATTTAACCTAAAGGTTAGAAATTGTTAAATAATTACTAGCATAAAATCGACTAAATTTTTTTTGATCAACTGATATATTAAGACTATTTTAATTGATTATTTACCGATTTAGAGTTTCTATTAGTAATACAAATTCTTATCATCATTATTATTCGTAATACAACCTAATATTAATTCAAATTATTCGTTCTATTCTTCTATTCAATTATCGGTCATTCGTTTTATTCGTCTATTCGAATTACTCGTTTTATTTGTTTTATTCGAGTTACTCGTTTTATTCGAATAAACTTTCAATGTAATTTGAACACTCAAATTCATAATAATAACGAATAAATCAAATATTTTGAATAAAATAGAAACCTTAGCTGAAACTATAATCAAATGATGCCGAAACTATAGTTTTGGCATTTCGGCAATTTAGTCAGTTTCGGCATTTCGGCACTATGTAGGAGGTTTTACTTTTCGGCAGCAGACTAAACAGATTTCATCAGGCAACCTTACACCAGAAATATCGGACATATTCGATCCGGAAGAATTTTAGTGATTGTAAATGGTTTGCGATGACACTTTCTTCCAGTTTTTAATGACAAATGTTATTTCCGGTAATGTATCCATTTTTAAATTTGTTATATCATTTCCTGCTTCAACTTGATTTAAAATCCCAGCATCCATCGGTTGGATTTTTGAAATGGTATTTGGGGAAGAAAATGAAACCAATATTTAAAAGAATCAAACCATCTATTTATCAAGATTATTGGTCTTTATATTTTCAACAAGCATTCTGTTGAATGATTGGTGCCAAACTTGAAAAACGGTAATTAATATCCAAGCCTTGGATTATTACAACATGTCATTTATAAGTTATTAAGGTTAACATTAGTAAGGCATCATGGTTTTTTTAAATTTTTCGATTATTAATGGATCCAACTAACGATAGATTATTAAATTGCTATATACACGAAACAAAGTTTTACAAAAATAATCTTTTTTTTTTTTTTTTACTATTTACATTTCATAAATGAAAAAAAATCTAAACGCTTGAGTTTAAAATTCGGG